GAGAAATCCCACATGCAGCAACAAAGACCCAGTACAGCCAAAATATAAATTAATTAATTAATTAAAAAACACAAAAAAACATTTACAATAGCTCCAAAAATAAAACACTTAGGTAAAGGTATAATAAAATACACGTAAGGTCTATATGTTATAAATCACAAAATTCTGAGGAAAAAAAATAAGACATCTGAATAAACAGAGAGATGTATTACGTACAAACTGAAAGATTCAGCATAATAAAGATGCTGATTCTCCCCAAATTTATTCATAGATTAGCACAATTTCAATCAAAAATCTCATCAGGATATTTTTGTAGGTAAAGAAAAGCTCATTCAAAATCTTATATATGGATAGACAAAGGAAGTAAAATAACAGAATTTAAAAAAAAAAGAATGAGGTTGGAGGAAATATACTTCCCATTAGCAAACTGAATTCAATAATACATTACAAAGACCATACATCATGATCAAGTGGAATTTATCCGAGGAACACAAGGATGGTTCGATATCTGATACACCACATTAACTAACTGAGGAATAAAAACTATACGATCATCTTAATAGAGGCAGAAAAAGCATTTGACAAAATTCAACACTAATTTATGATACAAACTCTTAACAAAGTGAGTACCAAACGAATATATCTTAACATAACAGAAGCCATGTATAACAAGCCTGTAGCTAACATCATACTCAACACTGAAAATCTGAAAACTTTTCCACTAAGATTAGGAACAAGACAAGGATGTCTACTCTTGTCACTTTTACTCAACGTAGTATTGGAAGTCCTAGTCCCAGCAATCAGATAAAAAATATATAAACAAAAGAAATTAAAACTGGAAAGGAAAGAGTAAAACTGTCACTGTTTGCAGATGACATAATACTATATATAGAAAATCTTAATCATACTATCAAAAAACCATTAGAATTCATCAATGAATTTAGTCAAGCTGTAAGATGCAAAATTAACACACAGATCTGTTGCAGTTCTATACACTAACAAGAAACTGTCTTAAAAGAAATTAAGAAAGCACTGCCATTTACAATTTCATCCAAAATAATAAGATATTTAGGAATAAATCTAATTAAAGAGATTCACAAACCATACTCAGAAAACTATAAGACCCTGATGAAAGAAACTGAAGATGAGACAAACAGATGGAAAGATATCCTGTGCTCATGGATTGGAAGAATTAATATTGTAAAAATGTCCACACTCCTCAAGGCATTCTATATATTCAATGCAATTCCTATCAAAATACCAACAGCATTTTTCACAGAACTGGAACAAAAACACTAAAATTTGTATGGAACCATAAAGGACCCAGAATACACAAAACCATCTTGAGAAAGAGAAACAAGAACAAAGCTGGAAGAACCACACTCTCTGACTTCAAACTATAATACAGAGTTATAATAATCAAAATAGCATGGTACTGGCACAAAAACAGACACATAGATCAATGGAACAGAATAAAGAAAAATAAACTCATACTTATATGGTCGATTAATCTATGTAAAAGGAGGCAAGAATATACTACCAGGGGGAAAACAGCTTCTTCAATAAATGGTGTTGTGAAAACAGGACAGTTCCATTCAGTTCAGTCGCTGTGCTGTGTTCAACTCCTTGCGACCCCATGGACTGAAGCACGCCAGGCTTCCCTGTCCATCACCAACTTCCAGAGCTTGCTCAAACACATGTCCATTGAGTCAGTGATGCCATCCAACCATCTGGGCAGCTACGTGCAAAAGAATCAAACTGGAATATTTTCTCACACCATATATAAAAACGAAACCAAAATGGATGAAAGACAAATGTAAGATCTGAAACCATAAAACTCCAAGAAGAAAACACACAGACTAACTCTTTGACATGGGTCTTAAAAATATTTTTTGGTTATGTTTCCTCAGGCAAGGGAAACAAACAAATACACACACACAAAAAGGAACCACATCAAACTAAAAAGCTTTTGCATAGCAAAGGAAACTATGAATAAAACAAAAAGGCAGCCTACTGAATGGGAGAAGATATTTTCAAGTGATACATCTAATAAGAGGTTCATGTTCAAAATATACAAATAACACATACAACTCAGCATCAAAACAAAACAAAAACAAAATAAGCTGATTAAAAAATAGAGGACATGAACAGACATTTTCCCAAAGACATACAGGTTTCTAACAGACAGATGAAATGATGCTCAACCTCAATAATCATCAAGGAAATGCAAATCAAAACCACAATAAAACATCACCTCACACATGTTAGAATGAAAGTGAAAGTCACTCAGTCGTGTCTGACTCTTTGCAACCCCATGGAATTCTCTAGGCCAGAACACTGGAGTGGGCAGCCCTTCCCTTCTCCAGGGGATCTTCCCAACCCAGGGATTGAACCCAGGTATCCTGCACTGCAGATGGATTCTTTACCAGCTGAGCCACCAGGGAAGCCCAGGAATACTGGAGTGGGTAGCCTATCCCTTCTCCAGGGGATCTTCCTGACCCAGGAATCAAACCAGAGTCTCCTGCATTGCAGGTGGATTCTTTACCAACTGAGCTATCAGGGAAGCCCTGCTAGAATGGCTATGTTAGAATGTCAGAATGACTAAGATGATAAAATGGCTATCATCAAAAAGAAGACAAATAACAAATGTTGGTGAGGGTGTGGAGAAAAGAGAACCTTTGTACACTGTCCGTGGGAATGTAAATTGGTACATCCACTGTGGAAAACAATATGGAGGGTCCTCAAAAATTAAAAATATGATTCACCAATTTCACTTCTGAGTATTTGCCCCCAATACAAAAACACTAATTCAAAAAGATATATACAGTCCCATGTTCATTGCAGCACTATTTACAATAGCCAAAATATGGAAGCAATTTCAGTGTCCAACAATAGATGAATGGATAAAGATGTTTTATATATATATGTATATATAAAACATATATATATGTGAAACATATATATATATATAAAACATATATATGTGAAACACATATACAACATATATATATATGCATATATACACATGCACATTTATATACGTGCACAATGGAATATTACCCAGCAAAAGGAAGAAATGTTGCCATTATGACACCACGGGTGGATCTAGAGGGTGTTATGCTAAATGAAATAGGTCAGACAGAGAAAGACATATACCATATGATCTTACATAGATGTGAAATCAAAAAATAAACACAAACAGACTGAAAGACCCAGAGGACAAATGAGTGGTTGCCAGAAGGGAGGCAGATGAGGGGTAGGTGGAATAGGTGAAGGAGATTTGAAGGTATACACCTCCATTATATAGTAAGTAATCCATGGGAATGTAATCTACAGCACAAGAAACAGGATCAACAATATTGTAGTACCTTGTAGAGGTCCATATGGTTACTAGACTTATCATGGGGATCACTTCATTCATGTATGCAAATGTCAGTCATTATGTAGTACATCCGAGACTAATATAATGCTGTGTATCAACTACATTTCATTAGAAAATAAAGTCACTAAAGAAGAATACAGGACTTTTATAAAACAAAACTTCTTTTTCAGACTCTAGCCTAAATTTTTACAGTCAGGTAAGAACTTGTCCTTAAAGAGAAGAAATTATGCATATGATTATGTACAAAATCAAAATTGAATTACATTAGTTCAGTCTACTAAATGGGTTGTTTTTTGGAACAAGTGAAATATTGTAAATCAATGGCATTTGAAAATATTGTATTACTGCAGTTAAAACACACAGTGGAAAGAGATGGGATAGTCTTTAAACACATTTATGTGATGAGTTCCTCAGAGTTACCTTCCTTCAGCCAGCTTTCTGGACTCTTAAGCTACTGAGTCATATCGCTTAATAATGTACAGAGGCAGTAATCAACCAATGATTATAAATAGGCAAGAAACCAATCCTGAACAATGATGTTAACGAGACACTGGGCTTTCTCACAACATGAAAGATCAGAAATAACTGCTAGTGTCTGGAATGACTCGGCATTTGCTTCCGTGAGGTTATAGATTCACTTCCCTTTTCTGTTCTCTGGAGACAAAGCACAGCTGGTCAGTATCTTTTATAAGAGTGTTTTCTTCTAGAAATTTCCCAAGGGCCATTACTAAGTGTGAAAAATATTGGGAATACCACAGAAAACTGGATATGAGTCACTTTCCACCTGCATATGATTAAGGGGACTCACAGCACAGTCCATTAAATAGAGGCAAAATGCAGCACTTAATTGCTGCTTCACTGGACATGACTGTTTTGAGAACTTTAAATGCCTATTACTATCATGCATAAGAAGGCAGGCAAAGTTGTCTGCTCAAAAGCATACAGTCACAGTGCCTTGAACATTGTCTAAATTTCACAGTTCAAAAAGAAATTCTCTCAAGAGTTCCCTAGATTTTAAGCTCGCAGAATGGTGAGAGTTCTGGCTAAAGGGCCTGATACTTGCCAGAGGTACTAAAAGGCCCTCTTTGTCCTCAGTAACCCACTGGCAACAGAACCAAAGGAAAGAGAATGGAAGGGAAACAGAGGGCAAGAAGGAGATACCAGGACTCTAGAACCATAGATGGTTAATCAGAGGATAAACATACCAGGTCTTTGTGAACTCAGGTTTACAGAAAGGCTCCAAAAGAAATCTCCAGAAACTTAATACCCACCCATGAGCTGGGACACGAGGCCACCCTCCCAAAAGGACTCTCAGTGATGCATCTTTGGTAAAGGTGCAGAGGAAGTCAGAGTAGGGCTACCGGGGGGTTTGGTGGAAGGGAGCATCCAGTGTCAGAGTTTTCCCAGCTAAATGGTACAAGGAGCTGAATGCTGCAGGAAAGAAAACCAAATTCATGTCAATTTGTTCCCAGTCTGGAAAACATGGTAACCTGGCATTACAATTAAGTAATAGTTTTAAGATTTCATGGCACTTTCTGAGCAACATGTTTCCTTTACAGTGAACCCATAAGAATATAGACTGGGGTGAATAAGAAAAATGTGAAAAATAGAGGATTACCATTTGGATGTAGCTTTTTTCCTCTTCTCTGGAAACAGAATTGGCAAAAAATCTTGCAGAATTAATACCATTTCTTTCTGGAGATAGAAAACTGGTTCGATTGCTAGGAACAAAAATATAGATGAGGTCAAAGCAGTGTCTTACAGCTGGTCTGAAAGCCAGCCAAGAACTGACACAGCCCCTTTGAGGTTTCACCCTCCCCTTCCAGATGCAACTTCCTTCCGGCCAAAGCAACTCCTGAAGTGACAGAGCCTACCCCGCAACTCCTGTCCCACTATGGGGAAGATGGCTCCCACTTCTCAAAGGTTATTCTTTTTGCAGGCCCTCCATGTGCCACATCTCATGAGCTTTCTAGAAAGAGACCAATGCATCATATCACTGAGAGAAAAGCAAAGCAGAAATGCTCCTTTGAGGCTCTCATTTTATTCCTCTGAGAAGATGAGACCAAGACCACAAATCCACTTTCATCCTACTCCCAAGTCAGAAGCGCAAGCTGAGGCTCTGCATTCCTGTCTGGAATGTGGCCCATTACAGTCATCATGTGCTGTGGTATTTAGGGTGAAGCAGCAGTAATCTGCCTGCAGTGTGGGAGGCCTGTGTTCAGTCCTTGAGTCGGGAAGATCCCCTGGAGGTGGGCAAAGAACCCACTTCAGTATCCATGCCTAGAGAATCCCATGGACAGAGGAGCCTGGTGGGCCACTGTTGCAATGAGCTGGACACGACTGAGCATTTAAAACAGCGGTAAAGAACCCGCCTGCAATGCAGGAGCCGCAAGAGACATGGGTTCCATCCCTGGGTTGGGAAGATCCTCTGGAGAAGGAAATGGCAATGCAGTCCAGTATTCTTGCCTGGAGAATCCTATAGACAGAGGAACCAGGTGGGCTATAGTCCCATGGGGTTGCATAGAGTTGGCTACAACTGAGTGACTAAACCAGCAAGAAACTACCAGGCCAAGCTCAGGACTCTGAAACTCCAGCTTCTGCAAGGTGAGATGAGAGAGTTCAGACACATTTGAGGGCTCGTTTATCGAGAGAACTCCCTTCACAAAGTTGAGCTTTTAGAAGCCATGCCAGCAGTGCCAGCCCTGCTCAGCAGGCCAGAGCTGCATCCACTGTAGCTGGGGCAAAACAATTCCCTCTCCCAACAAATGTGAATTGGAGGTTGAAAAAGAACCTCTCTCTGTTGGTACTAGAAATTGTAGCAGGTAAATACAGATCTACAGGATGGCTGCTTTAGGCTGTGAGGATTGTGCAACAGAAAAAGAGTTCTTGAAAGAAAGAGGAATGAGCATATGTGAAGAGAGAAGCACACATTAGAGACAGTTCCCAGCAATATTCTCGTTCTTGATTCCATTGCACTAGGAGATTCAGTTACTGTCATTCCTTGGTCACCTACAAAACACTTCCGGTTCAGGATAATAAACCTTATTCCTCCCTTGTCTTAAGTTCTTTCACCACAGAGGTCTGACTAAGGATGAGAGGGCGCCAGATGAGGCCCCTGGGAGCAATCAAAGACTCACCAAGGTGCAGTGTGGGTCCTGGTTAGACACATGTGTTCCCGGATTGTGGAGAGGTTTTTCAGGTCCAGGGTGGGTGGCCGTGCTACAAGATAACACAGAACATCCAATATAAGTTCTCAGGGTTTCAAGGCCAGAATCTTCAGACTGTAAAACTATGACAATTCCACTCACTGAGCACATCAAGCCCACATTTACTCACAAGCAGCGCTAATGATGAGTGCCCATTTTACTGTCCTACTGTTTCCTGCCTCAGCAGAAGCAGAGGGGACAAGTACTGAGCCGGTGGTCACATCAGCAGCTGGGGTTACATCCCATCACTACACATTTATTGAGAACTCATCGTAAGTGAGGCCTGGTTCTGGGTGTCAGATGAAGGTCTCTGATCTCATGCCATTCTGTTGCCCGTCTCACCTTTGACCCTTCTCATCACAGACACAGGTGATCACCCAAGTTCTAATCATCCCCTCCTCTCCAGGCCACTGTCTACTTTGTGGTCCTTCTGCGTAGAACAATCTTCCCCATCTCGCTGCTTGGTTATAGTCATCTTCACATCTCAGCTCAACATCCCCTGCTCACAAAGGCCTTCATAGGCTCTCATGAGTTCATGTGCTTACTATTCATGGCACCAACCTGTCTGTGATGACACCAACATTACTGAGTTGGGCCTAGACTGACTGCACTCTGGGAGGACAGGGTTTTTTTCCTGGTTTGTTCACTGCAGTAGTCTTTGCATCTAAAGAAGCACCTAGTGCCTGACCCTCACCCCACCTCAGCAATCCACCTTGCTGAGTCAGTCATGCACATATTCCCCTCACTGCCTTGACCAGCTTGTTTTTCTAGCTCTTTCCTCCACACCGGTAGATAGTGTTTAACTCCTTCCATATTATCAGTGGCATTCCTGCTGTTCAGTCAGCCGAGCAGCCACATGTGTCAGAATCACCCCCTCCTGGCCCAGGTGTTCACCTTCCCAGCAACCCAGTGAATCCCCAACCCTGTGTCCGTCCAAAATCTCTGCGCCTTCCTCCATCACCAGGTCTTTCAGACTGGTGATGTCCAAAATGGTAGCCACTAGCCACATGTGACTCTTGAAATGTAAGTGCATTGAAATTAAATCGAATCTTAAAATTCACTTCTTCAGTTGCACTAGCCACATTTCACATGTTTAACAGCCCCACTTTCTTCATTACAGAAGCTTCTGTTGCACAGGATTACTACAGAAAAGTAATCAAGCAAAACAACAAGGTATACCTCAAAGTTACAGGCGCCTGTGAAATGGTTTCTCACCAGAATGAATTGTTATTTCCTCTAAACCTCATGAGACAGGGCCTGTTCTCCTATTTAGTACCTATTGCATAATTCTTCTTCCAGGTGGTTTTGACATATCTTTCTCCCCCTCAACCTGGGGAACCCTGCTTGTTTCGTCATCTCTGTCTCCCCCTAGTGCTAGGCAAACACACAGGAAATGGGATTTGACTCAAAGCAAAGAGGGCGAGGCTGGAGCAGAGCAGGCATAAGCGAGATGCTTAGTTACAGCTCTGAGAGTGGCCACGTGAAGTAGTAGTTTTTCTAAAGAGCAAAGATGGGTGGCGGTGGAGCTGCTGGAGTGTCAGGAGTCATGGTCGTGGTACCAAGTATTTCCTTAGAATCACCCAGCCCTACTGGGCAGGCAACGGTGAGCAAGAATGAAGTTAGCAAGTTACTCTGACCTACTTTTTCTCGAACCCTCTTTGCCTTCCTCCCTGCCTATTCCTGCCACTCAGCAGATGGGAGGAACTGCCTGGAGCTCTGTGCCCACAGGAGCCACACTTCTCACCTCCACATCCTCCATGTTCTCCCTCCCCGCAAAGACACATCTGCAGCTGGGCACACACAGGGCACTGAACCATGGGGCCTGTGACCGGGTCTGCATTAAGGAATCAGTGTCAAAGGGCATTCTTGGCTGCCTTACATAACGGGAATGGTATGACTACATTTAAGTGCTGTTTTTTAAACAAAGAGAGACCAAGGGGCTTCCATTCACACCCACCTCACTCGTTTCTGGGACTTTGTTAGGGAAGCAGCCAAAGATGAGCCCGCTGGAGTGGATTTGGCTTTGGAGACCACATTTGCCATGACTGCAAGTCTCTGGGTTCCTGTTACCCTGATGATCTGGAGCAACAGTGCTCCCCATCCCTTCCCACTGGATCCCAGCCACGTCTTTCTCCCAGGCCCCTGGGGTGGTGGGTTTCTGTAGTGCTTCCTTCCCAGAGGGGCTTAGGAGGGAAGCTTTTCCACACGGTTATCACACCTTGCTCCCCCATCCCACACAGGAGTGGCTTACTCTTCCTCTGAGGCTTGAGATCTCTGTTCACGGGGGGAGGCTCCAGGTCTACAGGGAGCTCAGGCAAGGGGCTGGAGATGCTCCCTGAATTCATTGGGATGTAATCGTCAGAGCTGTCATGGGGTCCGAGAGCAAAGGCGGCAGTCTGGGGACTCATGGGCACGTAGCTGTCCTCAGTGCTGGTGGAAGTCGGCGGGGACATTGGGAAGAACCTGCATGGCTGCAAGGGAATGAAAACCAGTTGGAAAGCACAGAATAGCATGGAAACTGCTTCCAGTGGGCACAACTTGGCTGCATGTGGGATTTCAGTTGCAAATTATCTAGGAATAACTCTGAACTTCCTTAGGAAAGTCAGACAGCCTCTAACTCAAGCTCTGTCTCTGGACTTATCATGGGAGGTAGGTGATGACTCGCCTAGGACTCATGCTGCAAGACAGAGGTCAATGAAATGTATGTAAATACTTTAAGAATCATGGGATGACTTCAATAGCTACCTCAGGTCTGAGATGTGTGTAGACCATTAGAACCGGTAAGGCCCATATAGAGCACAAAGTCCAGTAGTTCCCAGATAGGTTCAAGCTTTAATGGGAGACTGGAAGGGTCCTTGGAGATTCAGAGTGCTGAATCTCAAAAGATATCAAGGTAACATATACAGGGTAGACTATGTTTTGGTAAAAATTAAGGCTTAAAGAAACTCAAGCACCAAACTTACCAAATTTAAACTTAGCCTCTTGTCTCGGTGTCTTAAAGATTGGCCTTCGACATCTGCTGCAAGAAACAAGCCAGGTGGTGAAAACGAAGGGCACCAGTTGAAACTAAGCTCAGGGCCCTGTGCTCAGCTCCAGAGGGAGAGAGGCTTGCTACTCAATCTAGCTGGCCAGCCAGAACATTCCCCCGCAGGTGGAAAGCTGACCAGATTTTGAAGAGGTTTCTGTATGATGCTTCAGTTCTGTGAATTGGGGGGAGTCATGGGAAGCAATTAAGAAATGCTTGTGGCATTTGTCACATGAATTTTCTGCACTTAGAAATGGCAGAAACAGAGCTGGAGGTTTGAGGAGAGGAGAGGAGGCATGAAATAGCCCTTGCAAAGAATAGGAGAATGGGGTGAATAAAGGAGCTATAGCCTTGCAGAGCGTCAACACGAATTGGTGACTATGAATTTCTACAGAGTCAGCACTTCAGTACAGATCTGAAGAGAGAGCAGAGCTGGATGAATCTAAGATTAGACATTTCTGAGATGGATGTGACCCATTTAGAGTGTGATGTAAAAATTCAGAATAACTGTTGAATTAAAATAGATATCCAGAAGGTAGCAAGATATATGTGTGCAGAGTCAAATGAGACTTGCTTAGAGATAGAGTAGAGGAGATAATCTAGAGGTTTTAAACATTGAGAAAAGTTTAAGTATAAAATCCTGGAGACTCTGGGCTTCCCTGGTGGCTCAGAGGTAGAGAATCCGACTGCCAATGCAGGCAATATGGGTTCAATCCCTGACCTGGGAAGATCCCACATGCTGTGGGCAGCTAGAGTCTGTGCACCAGTACTAGTGAGCCTGTGCTTTAGATCCTGGGAGCAGCAACTACCAAAGTTCAAGTGTCTTAGAACCTGTGCTTCACAACAATAGAAGGCACCACAATGAGAAGCCATCACACCCCAGCTAGAGAGTAGCCCCTGCTCACTGCAACTAGAGAAGGTGCACAAAGCAACGAAGACTCAGCACAGCCATAAATAAATAAATTAATAAAATCATTTTTTAAAATCCTAGAGATTCTCACTATTCAAAGAGCAGGAAGATGAGGACTGGCTCATGTTGAGAGAGAGTAGTTGGAGAGGAAGGAGGAAAGCCAGGGGCTAGGACCACGAGAGCCCACAGGAGGAGATGGAGGCTGCTGGCAGTGAGCATCGCTGGGAAGGGCCCTCAGCATGTGGGACTGGAACAAACTGTCTCCCTAGAACCTGGAGATGTGAAAAGCCAGGCTGCCTCTGAGAAATTAACTGTAGTCAACATCATCTTCAAGCGAGAGAATAACTCCCAACTTAGAAAGATGTGATGAAGACTGGAGATTGATTAAGAATGTCTTTAAAAAATGTCTTAAAAAAAGAATGTCTTTTATATATATGCATATATGTGTGTCTATCTATGTTTATATTTCTTGAAGGGGGAAGAAGTACTGGTTAAAAGATGCTCTGGAGTCATGCTGGTTTTAAATCCCTAATCTGCCACTTATTAGCTCTGTGACACTGGACAAGTTACTTTCTCTGTGTCTCAGTTTCCTAATCTGTAAAGTAAGACCAAAAATAGAATCTATTTCACAGGACTTTTGGAAAGATTAGATGTGTTAGTGCATTCAGAGTACTTAAAATAGTGCTTGGAACACGAAGTATTTAATAAATCCTACCAATTATTATGGACATTGTTAATAAAGAATGTGGTGATCCAGTGGTTAAGATTCTGTGCTTCTACTACATGGGGTACAGGTTCAATCCCTGATCAGGGAACTAGATCCCACATGCCACAAAAAGTGGCCAAAAAATTTAGAATGTGGGACTTGCATATGTGTACAGAGTCCCTAACTTCCTCTCTATTACAAAATTCCTATTGAAATCACCAAATAACACAATTACAGAGAAACCCCTGCATCAACATCAGCTAGTTTAAGGGATTTGTGAGAGAGGAAAGACAGGATTCGAGAGTGGATGCACATTCTTATGAAACAGATATCTGTCACATTCACCCTTTTTCATATTATTCCCTTGCCCCCACCTGTTCTACTAATCTCCTTGACCCTGTTCTACTTTTTCTCTTTCCAAAGTACTATCACCTTCTAATGAATCAAATAGTTTTGTTTTACCCAGCCTTACTGAGACTGTGTGTATATGTCTGTAAAAACACTGTGCAAATTAAAGGTGTACAATATGCTAATTTTTCATACATATATTGCAAAATAATTACCACCATAGCATTAGGTAACACTTCCATATCATCACATAACTCCCATTTCTCTTTTTCTTCCAGTTATCATTGAGATGTAATTGACACACAGCACTGTGTAAGTTTTGGGCTTCCCTGGTGGCTCAGTGGTAGAGAACCCACCTGCCAATGCAGAGGATGCATGTTCGATCCCTGGGTCAGGAAGATCCCCTGGAAAAGGAAATAGCAACTCACTCCAGTATTCTTCCTTGGAAATCCCATGGACAGAGAAGCCTGGCAGTCTACAGTCCATGGGGTTGCAAAGTGTCTGCCACGACTGAAGTGACATAGCATGGCATTAATATTAGATATCAAAAGTTTATTTCCAAAATTTTGCTTTAAAATAAAGGAGAGAAATGGGCGGAAATGGGGGGAAATGAAATAAGAATTGATTAACAATACTCAAGAAATTAAAGAAAAAGAGAAAACCATCTCAGAAATGAAGCCTAAGTTACAGAATCCCAAGGCAAGAAGATATTCAACTGAAAATGCAATAAGTTGAATTGAAGAAAGGCCACAAAACAACTAAGAGAATAAAAAATAAAGTTAAAAAGAATCACAGAAAAAGAGATTGAAATAGAAGATAGGCAATGAAGACGCAATATATGTATTGTTAGTTCCCCCCAAAGAAAAACAAAACAATAGTATATTACTAATATTGAAATCATAATCCAAGAAAAGTTTCACAAATAAAGTAACACTTAAATCTACATATTGAAAGGCCCATCAAGTAACTGGAATAAATAGTCAATTCTACCCAGAATGTAAAATCTATTAAAACAGCTACATCAATCAAAATGACAAAATGAAAACAGGTGAATTAAATACCCAGTTCAAAGCTAGAAAAGGAACAATAGAGAAAACCAAAAGAAATTATAAGTAAAGATAAAGGCAAAAACTAATAAAGTCCAGAGGAAGTGGATTTACTTTTTTAAAAGTAAAAATCTTGGTTTCCTGGGGAAAAAATTTAACCTGAGGGAAACCCACTAGTCAATGTAATCAATAAAGGAGGGGGCACAAACATACAAAATAAGAACTGATAAAGAGAAATTAATCATTGAAACAGAGGAGATTTTTTTAAAGAGACACTTCTGCATTCCTCTATACAAATAAACTTTAGGGTTAGACTACTACAATATTGTAAAGTAATTAGCCTCCAACTAATAAAAATAAATGAAAAAAAACAAACTTTAAAATACAGATGAAATGGATAATTTCTAGAGAAATACACTATACCAAAATTGACCCAAAAGGAGATAGAAATCTTACACATTTAAATTTCCATAGAATAAAACAGACAAAGTTACCTCCCTAAACCACCTCCCAAAAGTGAAGTCATTCAGTCGTGTCCAATTCTTTGTGACCCCGTGGACTGTAGCCTGTCAGGCTCCTCTATCCATGGGATTCTCCAGGCAAGAATACTGGAGTGGGTTGTCATTTCCTTCTCCAGGGGATCTTCCAAACCCAGAGATTGAACCTGAGTCTCCTGCATTGCAGGCAGATTCTTTACCATCTGAGCCAAGGAACCTTCCCAAAATCACCTCCCAAAACTACCTCTCAAAAACCACTGAGATCAGATGGCTCCAACAGACAATTTTACCAAATCTTCAAACACCAGGCAGTCTCAATGCTTCAAAAATTTGTTAGAGAGTTTAGAAAACCAAGGACTATTTCTAATTCTTTTCATGAAGCAAGTATAACTTTGGAAGCTAAACCTGATAAAGATAAAATATATCAGAAAAGTATAAACTAATATCACTTATGATCATTAACACAAAAATCCTAAAATATTAGCAAGCATCATGTCCTCTTTGAACTATTACTATAAAACATCTCACTTTCCTCTCCAAGTTGGGACACATTGTTTTGAGGGCATTAGCCTGCTCTGGACTCCTTAGCCTAGCAAAGCTATTAATAAAGTTTCTTTTCTCTACTTCACCACCATCCCCAAATATTAGAAAACAGAAGAAAGTGGTATTACTAGAATGGCTGAATGAAGAGCTCAGAAAAGCTATTCCCCCAAAAGCAATGATAAAACTGTACAAAGTTACTTTTGTACACAACTATTAGGGGACTTTGAAAATTTACCAAAAGCATACAACCAAACTATTGCATATTGTATTTGGAAGCTTTTATTTAAAAAAAAACTACTGAATATCACATAAGAACAGTGAGAATTTGTGGCATTTTAGCTTGGGGTGCTCCCATAACCCTCAGCAGCTCACTCAGCAGTAGTTATACAGGGCAAGGCAAGTCATGAAAACTGGCAGCTTTTTTGCCAAAGGGGTCTCATTTGATTTGGATCAAAGCATATAAAAAACTCCATTCCTCTATGTACTATCAAAAACATACTAACATTCACTTTATAGGGGCTCAAAAAATTGTTTTCACAGAACTTATGGTTGAAAACTTTCTACAAGAAAACAGACATCCAGAGACAGGAAGCACAGAGGGTCCCTAAAAAAGATGAACCCAAAGAGACTTACAAGACATATCATAATTAAAATGGCAAAAGTTAAAGATAAAGAGAGAATTCTAAAGAGTCATTTACAAGGAAATCCCCATAAGGCTATCAGCTGATTTCTCTGAAGAAACTTTTCAGGCCAGAAGAGAGTGGCATGATAGATTCAAAGGCTCGAAAGGGAAAAACCTGTGACCTAGGATAACCTACCCAGAAAGATTACCATTTAGAATCAAAAGAGATATAAAGAGATTCTCAAACAAGCAAAAACTAAAAGAGTTCATCAATACTAAACCTACCTTAAAAGAAATGTTAGATCTTCTCTAAGCAGAAAAG